AACAAAGCTGGCTTTTGATGCAGGCAGTTGTGGTTTAAAACCTGCTCAGTGATGTGTGAAAATACAGCACCAAATAGTAGGTTAATGTTTTCCATGGGAAAACCCCAATATATCGCGTCATATATGACCAAAGTGCCTGGCCGCTCACAGTCAGTGGTAATTTAGTGGTGAACCCGCTGGCATTCAGTGCAGGCAGGACCGGTTCAAAACCCGCTCAGTGATGTGTGAAAATACAGCACCAAATAGTTGGTTAATGTTTTCCATGGGAAAACCCCAATATATCGCGTCATATATGACCAAAGTGCCTGGCCGGTCACAGTCAGTGGTAATTTAGTAGTGAACCCACTGGCATTCAGTGCAGGCAGGACCGGTTCAAAACCCGCTCAGTGATGTGTGAAAATACAGCACCAAACACTTGGTTTCTTACTTCCATGGGAAAAACCCAATATGTCACGTCATATATGATTAAATTGCCTTGCCAGTCACAGGCAGTGGTAGTGTAGTGGTAAAATCGCAGGCTTTCTTTGCAGTCAGCGTAGGTTCAAAACCTGCGCAGTATCGTGTGAAAATTTAATTTTAAACACGTAGTTAATTTTTTCTTTGGGAAAACCCCATTATGTTGCGTCATGTATGACTGAAAAGCCCTGCCATTCACAGTCAGTGGTAGTGTAGTGGTAACCTCACTGGCTTTCGGTGCAGGCAGTGCCGGATCAAAACCTGCTCAGTGACATGTGGAAATACAGCACCGAACACTTGGTTACTGTTTTCCATGGGAAAACCCCAATATGTAGAGTCATGTAAGACCAAAGTTCCTGCCATTCACATGTACTGGTAGTGTAGTGGTAAACTCGCTGGCTTTTGGGGCAGGCAGCGCCGGTTCAAAACCCGCTCAGTGATGTGTGAAAATACAGGACCAAACACTTGGTCAATTTTTTCCGTGGGAAAAACCCAATATGTTGCGTAATATATGACTGAAAAGCCCTGTCATTCACAGTCACTGGTAGTGTAGTGGTAACCTCACTGGCTTTTGGTGCAGGCAGTACCCGTTCAGTGACGTGTGAAAATAAAGTAGTGAGCAAATGTTGCCTTTTTTTCCAGGGGAAAACCCCAATATGCAAGTGCCTTCCCAATCACAGTCACTGTTAGTGTTGTGGTAAACTTGCTGGCTTTCGATGCAGGCAGTGCTGATTCAAAACCCGCTAAGTGACGTGTGAAAATACAGCACCGAACACTTGGTTACGTCTTTGGGAAAACCCCATTACGTTTTGTCATAAATGACCAAAGTGCGCTGCCATTCACAGTCACTGGTGGTGTAGTGGTAAACTCGCTGGCTTTCAGTGCAGGCAGCGCCGATTAAAAAACTGCTCACTGACGTGTGAAAATGAAATTTCAAACAATGAGTTACCTTTCTCTTTGGAAACCCCCTATAAGTTGCATCTTGTATGACCAAAGTGCTCCGCCATTCACAGTCACTGGTAGAGTAGGAGTAAAATCGCAGGCTTTCCATGCAGGCATCATGAGATCAAAACCCACTCTGTCACTTGTGAAAATAAAATTTCAACCAGTTAATTTTTTCTTTGGGCAAACCCCATTACATTGTGTCATATATGACTGAAAAGTTCTGCCATTCACAGTGGTAAACTCGCAGGCTTTGGGGGCAGTCAGAGTTGGATCAAGTCCCGCTCAGTGACATGTGAAAATACAGCACCGAACACTTGGTTACTTTCTTCCATGGGAAAACCCCAATATGTAGAGTGATATACAGTGAAACTCCTCTACAACGAAATCATGTTTGCAGCAAAAAAAAATTCACAACAGGGTTATATATATATATATATATATATACATACATACAGGTATATGTTATCATATATTGGTCATATATCTTTACATATATCACTAATATATTGTCCAATATAAATTGCAATAATGATTGTAGTTACTTATAAATGCCAAATTACATATATTTTGTACAGTATAAATGCATGTTATTTTGCAATATATTGCAATATATGAAAAGCGGCAATCATTTGTATATTTTGCAATACATTACAATATATTACAGTTAATATATTGGAAAATATATTTTCCTTTCGTAAGGTTAGATAGATCGATAGATAGATAGATAGATAGATAGATAGATAGATAGATAGATAGATAGATAGATAGATAGATAGATAGATAGATAGATAGATAGATAGATAGATAGATAGATAGATATTCAGACCACCAGGGCAGGCCAGTACCGCTAATATTCCCAATTTGGCTGCAATCTTGATGTTTGAGCCATCATGTCAAAATTAATAATAAAGACATTTTGAAATAAGTAACATTTAATAAATAACAGACAAATATATATTTCCTTTTGAAGTGTAAAATAAGTATTATGAAATGTGTTTTATTAATCTTTCATATCAAATGAATATGATTTTTTGTACTTCAATTTTAAACATGTTTTTTTTTAATTATACATCACAGACAAATATATCTTGGAAAATGAATACTGTATGAATGAGTACTGTTGTTATATTTTAAATTACATGAAAATAATCATTATGAAATTCATTCATTCATTCATTCTTTCATTTTCCAAACTGCTTTTATCCTCACTAGGGTCGCGAGAGCCTATCCCAGCTGTCTTCGGGCAGTAGGCGGGGGACACCTTGTACCGGTTGCCAGCCAATCGTAGGGCACACAGAGATGAACAACCATCCGTGCTCACACTCACACCTAGGGACAATTTTGAGTGTTCAATCAGCCTGCCATGAAATATTTTAATAAAATAAAATTATAATCATTACAAAGTGCGGCCGGGTGGCCGAGTGGTTAGCACGTTGACCTTACAGTGCAGAGGTTGTGGGTTCAATCCCGGTTCCGGCTTTGCTGGATGGAGTTTACAACCGTGACCCAACTCTCGCATGACTTGAGTGATGTGACCTTCGCTTTGTGAAGTCAGAGCAGTTTTCAAACAACAATTGTGGAAAGTGATGATACAAGTCTGAAAACAAAATTAAAAGCAGAAGTGTAGAAACAATTTGGAATTCAAGTGAGTGTTAAGCGAGAGTGGAGTAGAGGGGAGCTGTCCATTTCCTTATGGCCCTCCTTGGACATAGGTTCTTTTATTTCTCTACAAGGTGGAAGAAGACCCAACACCCCATCGTCTTTTCTGCAGTTTATCACAACACAATACGAATCGATTCGGGCTTCTGAGAGTTTCAGAGCACGTCAGGAAGCAGGGGAAAAATACAGTCTCACGTTTCTATAGGGTTAATATGTTAATGAGGGGAGGGCAGTCCTTCCCCTTATGTAAAAATCAGAAACAAAGAAAGGTCAATGCAGTTCAATCTTGGCATGAGGTCCAGACCTATGCTGCAGTGCATAAATCTTGAGATATGAGTTCCTTTCAGGAAAGCCTTCAGGGACTTTGCCGAGACGGGGGAGCGAAAGAAGACACTTGGGGGCTGTTCATCACTCAAGGGGGAAGAAGATGTAATCTTAACACTACATTCTTTGTTTTACGTGTTTAAACAGATGTTTAGGAAAGAGACTTGTTACCTTAGTATTCATATTAAGGCTAAAATTCCTTAACAAAGAGGAACAGGATAAGATCAAAGCTGGGTGCAATATCACCAACAGCACCGTAACCACCGCTCCAGAGATCATCCTGAATTCCTAGCAAAGGCATCCGAGCATTGATGTTCTATAAATATAGGTATATTAATCAGTATCGTATTGATTCAGCTGAAGACTGATGCATAGTTGAATTTTTCTAAATCTTCTTGAGTCGTCTTTTTCTTTCTTTTTTTTTTTTTTATCTTTCACATTAAATGTTACGGCTTCTTAAGCCGGGTCCAAACTCCTGTTTCCAGTTGAGACTGTCGTGAGTGTTTTTTTCCCTTATGGGGACTTTGTGTTTTGTTTTTTGGCTCAATTAAACTTTTGTCAACTATTCTGCACCTGGGTCCTTGCTCCTTGATCAGAACCTAAAACCTTTTTTTCCCTTTAATGAGGCACATCAGCGAAACTGGTCATCAAACCTCTATTTTTTAACCCAAAATATGAGAAACATCTGAAATCCTTTCTGCAAAGAATATATTTACACTTAGCAAGCATCACATGGAGAAGTAACTGTACAAGCAATATGTATGCTTGCTTAAAAATCGTATTTTTCTTTTTTCGTCAATGGACGCTACAGCTTCGTGTTTGCTTTCAAAACTTAGCTTGTGGCAGACGTGTGCACGTTTTCAGCATGACGTCTCTGATCCACTGGTGAAAGGACACTTTGATCCTCTCCTCTTTCATCTATAACTGCTTCAGACAACAAAGTGCATGCAGAAAAGTGGTGAAGATTGCACGACTGTCTGTGTCTTATGTGTTGTGTTGTGTTATTTTTGTTATTTTGACATCAAAATGGCGCCGCGAGAGTGGCTGCCTTTCCAGCAGCTCCTATATTTTGTTGTTATACTTCTTCTTTTCATAACTTTGCTGCTGTGAATTGGGAATTTCTCCATTGCGAGACTAATAAATGTTTTCTTATCTTATCTTATCTTATCTTATTGCATTGCTCGAAAGAAATATAAGATTCGAGTCTCATAGAAATATGTGATACTGTAGAAATGTTGTTAGGAGGACATAATATTCTCACTTTTATACATGTCAGCTAGTTTCTTGAACCTGGGCCCCCAATTACTTAGGTAGTCGTAGTAATCCTCAGCTTCAGATGATACGGAATCCAGTGAACTCAACGACTCGGCCACTGAACCTGCTCCCTCATCAGCGTAGGTGGCCAGTGAATCATACGGCGGTGTAGTAGGGTGATAGTCATTCTCTTCAACTCTGTCATTGATGAATCTGCATATGCTCTTGTCATATGATGCCAAGCTGACAGGCGGCAACACGGGATCAAAGGCATCAGGTGCATGTTGAAAGTGCATTGGGTAGCCCAGCATGTCTGTGGGGATGATGTCACGCCTTTGTTGAGCAAATTTCTCCATAACAGGTTTTTTTATCTTTCACATTAAATGTTACGGCTTCTTAAGCCGGGTCCAAACTCCTGTTTCCAGTTGAGACTGTCGTGAGTGTTTTTTTCCCTTATGGGGACTTTGTGTTTTGTTTTTTGGCTCAATTAAACTTTTGTCAACTATTCTGCACCTGGGTCCTTGCTCCTTGATCAGAACCTAAAACCTTTTTTTCCCTTTAATGAGGCACATCAGCGAAACTGGTCATCAAACCTCTATTTTTTAACCCAAAATATGAGAAACATCTGAAATCCTTTCTGCAAAGAATATATTTACACTTAGCAAGCATCACATGGAGAAGTAACTGTACAAGCAATATGTATGCTTGCTTAAAAATCGTATTTTTCTTTTTTCGTCAATGGACGCTACAGCTTCGTGTTTGCTTTCAAAACTTAGCTTGTGGCAGACGTGTGCACGTTTTCAGCATGACGTCTCTGATCCACTGGTGAAAGGACACTTTGATCCTCTCCTCTTTCATCTATAACTGCTTCAGACAACAAAGTGCATGCAGAAAAGTGGTGAAGATTGCACGACTGTCTGTGTCTTATGTGTTGTGTTGTGTTATTTTTGTTATTTTGACATCAAAATGGCGCCGCGAGAGTGGCTGGCTTTCCAGCAGCTCCTATATTTTGTTGTTATACTTCTTCTTTTCATAACTTTGCTGCTGTGAATTGGGAATTTCTCCATTGCGAGACTAATAAATGTTTTCTTATCTTATCTTATCTTATCTTATTGCATTGCTCGAAAGAAATATAAGATTCGAGTCTCATAGAAATATGTGATACTGTAGAAATGTTGTTAGGAGGACATAATATTCTCACTTTTATACATGTCAGCTAGTTTCTTGAACCTGGGCCCCCAATTACTTAGGTAGTCGTAGTAATCCTCAGCTTCAGATGATACGGAATCCAGTGAACTCAACGACTCGGCCACTGAACCTGCTCCCTCATCAGCGTAGGTGGCCAGTGAATCATACGGCGGTGTAGTAGGGTGATAGTCATTCTCTTCAACTCTGTCATTGATGAATCTGCATATGCTCTTGTCATATGATGCCAAGCTGACAGGCGGCAACACGGGATCAAAGGCATCAGGTGCATGTTGAAAGTGCATTGGGTAGCCCAGCATGTCTGTGGGGATGATGTCACGCCTTTGTTGAGCAAATTTCTCCATAACAGCTGCGGCTTCTTGGTCATACAGAGCTCCAATGTCAAAGGCCTGGGTGTCCTCTTCACCTCCACCCTCGTCATTGTAGCTCAGCACATTGTCACGGATATGTTCCTTGGAGACAATCAAAGGCTCCTTTTTTCTTTGTCGTGTTAATTTAATGGACAGAACGATTATCACTGAAAGAAATTAGGCAGAGGTCACATAATTTGACAGTCAATAGTCAAATCTGCTTTCACAACATCAAATTCTCTTGCATCATGAACAGTGATGGAATTAACGCCCCAAGAGAAAGTAAAGGTGTTACTGATAGTGAGCGACGTGCGGTTAGGTTCAGGACTGGTGAGGCACTGGCTCATCTGCAGTCGGATATAAAAGTCTGAAGCCAAATTTGACCTGAATTCAAAGAATTGTTTTTAAACTTTTAATTACTTTACGTCGTGTCACATATTCAATGAGTGGCCGTGAGGCATCTGGAATGCTTCAGGACGACGACAGTCTGGCATGTTCAGAAGTTTTGTTCGTCTTTCCGCAGTGTGACATGTCCTACGTCATTCTTTGATTGGTTCATCGGCATTGACCAATAGGCAGACTGTGCCCTCCTACTCATGACAAGAGACTGGACATGGCGCGCAAAACGAAATGTCGAAAAATAGGGTGCATTTTGGAAAATATTCGAAGCGTTTCAACTCATGCTACATTTGTGGACTGCAAAGCTACAGTAATAGCTGATTCAGTGTCCTTGAACTCTTTCCTGTCCCCTCCCCACTATCCAGGAACGTATCCATAGGCTAGGTTCACTCTACAGTTCTTAATGCTCATTTTTTATTTTTGGGTGGAGTCCCATTTTTTTGAGGAAGGATTTACATTACATTTTAAATACGACCTCAGTCTTCCCGGTGTGTGAATATATACAGGACGTCTCCGAAAGTGACCCGCCTGCACAGAAGAGATGACGTCATTGACAATGTAATGTTTACGGAAGTAAATGTGGTACAGTGTGGAAGGACCACGGCGCATCAGAACAGCGATGCGAGAGGAGGTATAAATATTTTATATCTCATTTCATGTCGATGTTACAAAAGATTACGACGTAATCTTTTGCGCGGCAATAACATGACGTAATCAATACGTCATGTTATTGCCGCACATAATAATTGGGGCATCTATGTGGCTAAATTAGTACAACCACCACAAATGTCCACATTATGTTTCATATTTCAAGAGGGAATACATTCAAATCACATATGAATGCATTACTGTTACTCAGAACAACGTTGCAGATTCACAAGACAATCAGTCAATCTCCCTTCTAAATGCTCTCTCCCCGTCCGATAACTTCTATGTATATGTGACCTGGTCATTCAGACTGCAGTCGCATTGCAAAAAATCCAATATGTATTTAAAAAATCAGAATTGAGTTGTTCAGATTATCAGGAAGAAAAAAAAATCAGATACTGGTCGCATATGGGCAAAAAAATCCGATCTGAGTCGGATTTTCCTGCAGTGTGATCCTAGCTAGTCTCCCTTCTTTTGCCTTTTCTGATAAGAGAAGAAATGCACATGCACAGAATGCCCCCGTCTACATGACTTTGACAGCTGCTTGTCCCGCCTTCCCGACGGACCCGCACCGATCTTGACGGAAGCACACGACGATTCAGCGAGGTCTGGTCAATGACTGACTTGTGTGACATATCTCCCATTCCAAGACACAGAACGATATTTATCTGGAAGTCTGACAGCGCGACCGTCGTGAACGCCCACCATCTTTTACATGCAGTCAAGGGGGCCAGGGAGACTGTGTCTCCCCTGCCTGGCCTGACCGCACATCCCTGGTGACTTAGTTCCCTTTATCAAGTATCAGGTAATCGAATTAATTATTTATCTATATTTACAAAAAGAAAGCATTCTTAATTTCTTTTGGTTACTTAGCACTGTCTCCATCTCCTCAGCCACTCATTTTGTAGACGCATGTGTCAATAAAAATGATTTCTTGAGGCTGGCTCGACTCTGACCCGAGGACTCATTTTTGTCTAAGTCCGAATGTGCATTTGACATGTACATTCTTTCCTTTAAGTTCATTTATGAAAAAGCAATGTCTACTTCTCGTTCAAGAAGGCCACTTTCTTTTCCGGTAGATTTATAGTCATTTTAGATCTGTTCACCAGAGGCGATTGCTCTAAGACTGCAAGGGAAGCTCAGCTTCCCCTAAAATGTCAAAAAATAAGTGATCAAATATATGTGTGTACATACAATTGTGTGTACATGTCATTGACTAAATATGCGCTACAACGTGCTCAACTTTTGTTTCGAATCAGCTTCTTAATACTGGTCACGACGCGACTCTCTTCTCATTCATTCCCGCAGCTTCACTGTGCTTTCAACTGTGTGCACGCTGAGCGTCGACAGCGTGGACGCTGGGCGTCTAGAGAGTTCACAGCCCATTGTCCCAATGCATTGAAACGAGATGAGTCATTGGATAAATGCTGGTTTTGTCCTGCCTATCGGATGCTCAGCGTCTCTGGGAGTCGATGGACAGTGGGCATTTATCGTCTGGCCCGGACGCTCAGCTTTTCTGCATGATGATTGGATAATCTGTCTGAGGCTGAATCTCTTTTTGATTGACAGCGAAATGAGCCAATCACCGATCCTTTGGTGTCGGCATCCGCGGGAGCATTTTTCAATTCTCATTCTGTTCTGAGTTGAACAGGAGACTTCTTCTAATCATCTTAGCAACACTCTATTCGTTGAAAACGACTAGCGACAAATTAATCTTTTATTTCTGGTGGGTTTTATTGTAGTTGCTTGTGTTCGTAGACTGAGTTATATCACCACAGTTAAGACCCTGGAAAAGACGCCTTGTTGGTGTCATGTTCCTGTTCTCGGCTTTGCCAGCAGGTGGCAGACTGAGCAGTCTTGCTAGTTGGACACCTGCTGCCGATTTGACAATTAGGGAAGTCTGTATTTATGGACCCTCAATCAGTCTGCTGGTTGTCGGAGAATTGTTTTATGCCTTGCTGCTTCCCTGCTCACAGACCCTTTGCTATAGACCTTGTCGTTTTGCTTTTGTACTCTCGGTACCATTTGTTGTTTTAGTATGGCTTTTGTTTTGTGATTTGGGGTTTTTTTTTTGCTTGCGTGTAGTTGATACATTGTTTTTCGTTTATATTCTCGGTTCTTGTTTTCCTCCCTTGCCTTTTGTGCAAGCGCTTTTTGTTATTCGTTTTCGTGCTCCCTGGTCCTTGTTTTGACCAGCGCTTTATGTTACTACTTTGTCGCTGCGATTTTTGTTCATTAAACATTTTTGCTACGGAGATCTTATCTGGAGTCTAGACTTTTGGGATCCAAAACTTGATTCAGTTCGTCCGAACCGTGACAGTTGGTATGACAGGGTCACAGATCATTTTCTTGAAAAGGAACGGAGAGTAGAATTCACGTATAAATTTTATGATGTAGGCCGAAATTGAGCTTCCCCTGCTTGACAGACAAGCATCTGCCACTGCTGTGCACCCATCCTCGCTCGCAGTTTCTGTCAACAACAACCGCCTAACTTTACTTCTGATTGGCTTACAATGAAATTTGACTGAATCATCTTCACTTATGTGATTCGCTCGTTCACCCCCACCCTTCTAGTAACACAGTTACATACAATACTGTTACTCCATCACTGCATTTGACACACTTATTTTTTTCCTGCACTTACATAGTAGTATGATGACACACAGCAGGATGACGATGAAGGCTCCGGTGCTCATCCCTGGAGAGCCTATCTGAGCATTAGAGTTACACAGCTCTATGTTGCCTTCCAAATCACAAGTGCAGACCCGCACAGTTAAAGTTTCTGTGCTGCTCTGCATTGGGTAATCACCATCAGTGATTACGATGGGAACCAGGTGGATGTTCTGTTGCAGGCGACTGTAGCTGGCCCTACGTGTCACAACGCTGGCAGTGTTATCTGAGTTTGGAAAATTCAGTTAGATCGTTTCTCAGCCCCAAGCTAAACAAGGTTTTGGAAGACAGTGTGTGAACATGCTCGAAAAAAAAATACCTCCGTTATCTTGTAAAGAGAAATTACTGTAGCTGGTTTCCTCTGGCGCCAGACTGAAGAAAAACTTGTGCCCCATCAATGGCTCATCGGCATCAACAGCACTTATTATTTGTATGCGCTTTTGAGAACACCAACAAATATAAATAAACTGATTAAGAACCATGTATGAATAATTTGGGGTATTGGACTTGTCTCTTTGACTGGGTCATTGCTGTTATCATGAAAGAAACTGGTTCGCCAAATTACATAGCATATTCTTGAAGTGAGAATGTGCATCTACCTGACCCGACTTGGTCTTCTCACAGACAAAGCTTTCATACAATGTGGCAAAGATTGGAGCATTGTCATTCACATCCAGTAGATTGATGTACACTGAAACAGGGCTACTCTGCTGAGGGTGATCTAAAATGATGACACGCAAAAGCTTCATGCAGGGGAAAACACTTGCCTCAACAATGCAGGGGACATAGCCTTCGTCCTGCCATACAGGTAGCAGTGGAAAGACTTACAGATCTCGGTGGCGATGACTGAAATATTATGCAAGGCAGTCTCCTCTCTATCCAGATTTTTTAGGAGGAATAAAGTTCCATTTTCTGGATGGACATTGAACAGATGGTCCATGTCTGTCCGGCGGTCAACTGAGTACCTGTGAAAGTCAATGCCAAAAGAAACTTTACTCTAACTGCAAAAGGTTATATGCTGTTCACATGTGTCATCTAGTGGTGAACTAATAGACTGCAGCGTCCTAAATTCGTGAGCACTTGCATTTTGAAGCACGCACACCACAATGCTTTGGAGAGACCACACATTGCTCGCCTAGCGCCAAATTTTCAGCAGAGGTGCACGCAAACTGTCTTGACAAAAGACTTCTAGCACTCCCTCAAGTGACAGAGTGCATTGCATTTACTACACATGCTGTAGTCATTGATGAATTTGTGATCACGTGATTTGTCTCCTTCAGATATCTGAGGCAGAAAGATGGCACCAAAACATGTAAGCCTCCTATAAGGTGAGGCGCGACCCATTTCATATAATTAGCAATGACGAGACAGACGATTTTATATTTTTTAAAAATGTACGTTGATGTGATAGAAAAAAAGCACTATGAGCATCATAGACTGTTTTGTCTTACTTGACCGGACTGTGAGCTTCATCGGGGTCCATGGCACTGACCCAGCCCATGACCACGCCCACTGCAGCATCTTCTTTAATCTCTATAAAATAACTGTGTTTGTCAAACACTGGTGGCTCATCCATGTCCTCCACGACAATTTGAAGAGTGGCCATGTCTTTCGAGTATGTGGATGTGAAGCGAGGGTCTGTCTGGGTGTTTTGGACCTGGATCTCTGCTACGTAGGACTGTTTGTTCTCATAATCCAAAATCTGTAGAAATAAAAAAATTAACAAGGTAAATGGTATTTGGTTTATATTATGGCATTCTGATGAATATTATGTTATACAAGTTATACAAGGAACTACAAGAAGAACCAACACATCTAAAACAACAATTGATTTAATATTCAATATTCCGATCCGCTTATCCTCACAAGGGTCGCGGGGGGTGCTGGAGCCTATCCCAGCCGTCTCCAGGCAGTAGGTGGGAGGCAACCTGGACCTGCGATTGGCTGGCAACCGGTTCAGGGTGTCCTCCACCTACTGCCTGAAGACAGCTGGGATAGTCTCCAGCACATCCAGCATATCCAGCGATCCTTGTGAAAGCGCATCAGAAAATGGATGGATGGCTGGGTTCTATGCATCCTTAGAGCTCTCTCCTGTGTTTCATGTCCTCCACACAGGGAGGACAGAGCTGGAATTGAACCCGGTACCTCTGCACTGTGAGTTCTATGCGCTAACCACTGGATCACCGGGCCGCCTTATACCATTTCAATAATTAAAAATAAAAGTGCGCTTCACACCACTCCTGCAACGAGCGAAATCCACAATACAGAAATGCCCTATTTAAATAAACCCAAAGCATGTTTTGATAGCTTTATGGCACTTCGATTTCTGAAGGTCTTTAAACACACTTTTAAAACAATAGAAATAAATACATAAATCATATATTTGCAGAAGTCTTGTCTTTCTTACCTTGCTGACAGTTATAAAACCCTCCTGGGTTTCTTTATTGGTGAATATGTCAAATATGTCCAGGGCATCTCCACTAACAATTGTGAAGTACATCTCTGCGTTGGTTCCAACGTCTCTGTCTGTAGCTTTAATCCTCCCAACTTCAGTGCCAGGGATAGACAGCTCAGGAATTCTGAACTGGTATATACCTAAAAAACAAAACAGAACAAAAAATAACCCCTACCTGAGATTTTTTTGAGATCATTATCAAAATATGAGCATGCATAATAATTATTTCAACTGAATTACTTTTTTTTTTTTTACTTTGTGTTCCACCACCAGAAAATGTCAGCTAGTTTTTGATTTGTGTATGTTAAGGGTAAAATAACAACAACAAAAATCATACATAAACGATAATGTCTTACTATGAGTGAAGCGTGGTGTGTTGTCGTTAACATCAGTGAGGGTGATGTACACTACTGTGGTCCCAGTGAGTCCTCCTCGATGTCCAGCCATGTCTTTAGCCTCGATTACTACTTGATAGTGCTCCCTCTGCTCACGGTCCATGTCGCCTGGACCCAAAGCAGTCCTGATCACACCTAGACAAAAATGTTTTTTGTTGAATCCAGCAAAATTTTGCTCATTGACAGCTCTTCAGTTCACACGGAAAATTAAGACAATTTCAATCAGTGAGGAGGAGGACAATGAATAAATTTACCTTATTTTACTGTGGCACTGGGATTGTTTTCGCTTCATGACTTTGTGCTTTCGCCACTATTTCCTACAGCTTTGATTCTCAACTGGTGGGTCGGGACTAGAGGATGATACGGGAGTGGATTTTCACTCCTATCCCATGCCACTACCACAGAAAATCTCCTTTCCTGTCCCAGTTTACGAACCACAGTTAAAAAAAAAGAAAAACAAAACTGTCCCGTCTTGTTCTCAGTGAAACCAACTTTGCATCCTGTCCTACTCCCATTCAGAATGACTCCCACTCCCGTATCGCTTCCATTCTGGGGGGTCAGCTCCATAAAAATAACTAAAAAAACAAAACAAAACAAAACAAAAAAAACAACTCAAGTTGAATTTTACTTATTTTTGAACAGCACTTGCCCCCTTTCTCCTCATCAACTCTTATTGTTTCGTGCAACATGGAATAGAAAACAAATTGGAAAAAAATGAAATCTTGCTCCTGCCTGCTGCCATAAACTTTTTAGCCTTGATTAACCTCCTGGGACCTGGCGTCCACATGTGTGGACATGACGTTTCTGGTTTTCAAGACTACAATATTAAATTTTGGACTACAAGGGCCTGGCGTCCACTTACGAGGACGTTACATCATGTAAAAAGATAGTTCTTTGTTTGTACACTCATCAGGTCCCAATTAGCCTAAATATCAAAGAGAAAATAAAATAAAAATGCATGCCTTGCAAGAGTTCGGGTCTTAGGAGGTTAAGGGTAAAGTTGACTCCCATCCCATGGAGTTCCCGAAAAAATATCAGCCTCTAGTTGGGACCCAAAAGTGCATCATGGACCCATTCTGGGTGGGTTGCAGACAGCTAGTAAAAAATTATGTGTCTATACATGTCTGTATTAGTATTCAAATGTTTTAGAACAGTACTGAGGCTCAATTTCTCACATAGAACATACAATATTTGGTAAGCAAGCATCAGGAAATATTACTCACTCATTCTCTAGTCACAAGCTTGTCTGTAAACAAATACAGCGCATCTCAGCCTTTGGCTAACGGATGTCATAGCTAGCAACATACTTTTGATGGTATGTAACATTCATTTGAAACTGCATTTTAAAAAATAACAGGTATTATCAGAAGTTATTTAAATAAAAACAAGCCTTTTTTGTTTTTGACTTCTATAAAGTGGGTTGAGACTTTCCAACAATAGGAAGATGCAGGTCCCAGGGTGACAACAGTTGAGAACCACTGCCTTACAGTTTGGTGGTTTTTGTTTTCTCTCGTATTTGTATCTGTAATATGTACAATAAGTTGGGGATGAAGTGACTGGAGGGGGAGCGGGGGGTCTACATTGGCTGACTGGTTAGCACAGCAAACTCGGTCCTCAAGGGCCGCTGTCCTGCCTGTTTTTGAGCTCTCCCAGGAGCAACACACCTGATTCAAATAAACAGGATTGTTCTAATGCTGCTTCAGAGCTGGCTGATGAGCTGATCATCTGAATCAGGTGTGTTGCAGCCGGGAGAGCTCGAAAACAGGCGGGAAAGTGGCCCTCCACATCCGCATCACAGTTCATAGGTTGTGGATTCACATCCTGGCTTTGGCCTTCCTGTGTGGAGTGGTCATGTCTGCACATAGCTTGTCTGACGGTAAGAGCGACATGCAATACTATATATATATATATATATATATATATATATATATATATATATATCACCATTACCAGACAGTGGCAGTCTAGCATAAGCCCATATGAGTAAAGCATGTACCTTAAAGCTCGCAGCCACTCCAGCTCACGGAAGAAGACAAGGGGCTATTTTCTAACTTTGCTCCCAATGAGCACGGGTACGCATGCATTTAAATATACTGTACCTGTTTTTGGGTCAACAGAAAAGTATGGCTGTCCTTGTTTGATACTGTACACCAGTTTAGCGCTGTTCCCATACATGTTGTCATCTGCATCTGTAGCTGTCACACAGATGACTGACGTACCTAAAACATATTCAGAAGACACACATTTATACTGTATAAACAGAAGATTCCAGGATGTAATGACAAGTGATGCACAGGTAAAACCACTCCTTACCAATATCGGACCGCTCAGGTACACTGCCATTATAAAATTCCTTGCTGAATTGAGGCTCATTATCATTGATGTCATGGAGTTTGACAGTGAACTCCGTCTCTGGTTCTAATGTTTTGCCTGTGATTTTATTGACAACTGTCGCTCTGAGGATATAAAACGCCTTCTCTTCCCGATCCAGGCGGCGCGTGGCATGCAGGTCGCCGTTGGTCTCGTCAATAACAAAGATGGTGCCTGCCCCCTCACCAGAGAGAACATACCTGACAAGGCCATTTCCACTGTCTTGGTCTGACTGGAGCTACAGTGTATACAAAAACACAGTAAGTCATTGTTTCAGCAGTTCAGTATTTCCGATTTCACCACCACAATCAAAATAAATTACAGCAAATCATTCAATCCAATTTGTCAGACTTTTGAGGTTGTGTGATTTTTCTGCACACACACAACACAAAAAGTTAACCCACACCTGCGAAGAGACTGGAATGGCTGATTGACTAACTAAAATTGCACTGTGGATTAAAAAAGCTCAATTTATTTCCAAATCAATTGAAATGAATTTTACTTGGAACAAAAACAAAATTAGTTTTGTAAGGGAATAGGAGTTTTCAACAGGGACGCTGCCTGTTCTAAAAATAGCTCAGTTAATAAGTGTTAATGGCTCAAATGTACATGCCTGCATGCAAATGTGAATTCCTCAGAATATTGTAAAAATGATTTGCAAATGTACATGCCTGCAGAGATATAGAGAAATTATGTGTTGTATCGTGATATTTATGTTACCTATGGGATCAAATTATTGGAAAATCATTAAATCAATGATGAATGACGAAATGTAAAATTACGTTTGTAAAATCCCGATCAATTAGTGACAAAATATAAACTTAAATTTTTGTTGTTTTTGTATTTAAAAAAAATAATCAAGAGCTTTGTGGAGCTAGTATCAATGCTTTGGAACTGATTTCAGCATAATAAATCACCACTGGATTGCAGGAGTGGCTTTGATTGGATCTTGGTCCAGACATCGTATGAGTGTGTGTATACAGTACGGTGATTCCACGTGTGTGACGAGGTGGCGTGCGAAACTAGTGTGATGGTGAGAAGTTCTGAGAACATGGATAAAGTTCAATGTTCATGAAAAGGTCATGCATTGTTCATATGTCATGGCAGTGTTTTTCTTGCAATAAACTTTTATTTTGCAATCCAAGTGCCCTTTTTTGTACAGTGATCCCTCACTTATCACGGTTAATGGGGACTGGGACCACCCGCTAAAGACGAAAATCCACGAAGTAGGGTTTGACCCCCCCCACATCCCCCTCAGGAATTTTTGTGTAAGGGTTTGTGGGTACCAGCATGTTTAAAATATATGAATAGTATATATTCTTTACATACTTGAGACAATGACTACGGCATTACTGTACACATATTTACTTAAATCTTTAATTATAAAACCTTATACAGTAATTAACATTCATCTGCATTGCCTTTTGAGAGAGAGAGAAAGAGACTTGTGTTACTCTCTTTATTCCACTCTGACAGTGTAGCCTCCGTTAGCCTCCAGCGAGCTGCTGGCCAGCTATCCCGCAGCGTGCAGCTGATGTGTTTATGATAAGACAATTAACCTGTATTGATAAGGAGGAGTTGAAGAGAAGTGCTGCTTTTTTCAGACAAGCCCAATTACCCTCTCTCTCTCTCTCTCTCTCTCTCTCTCTCTCTCTCTCTCTCTCTCTCTCGCACCCATCCCCCAGCCATACACACACACACACACACACACACACACACACACACATTCGTCGCGCTGGGAACAAATCAAGTACAGCCACAAAACCTCTGAGTCATTCACATTTTTTCTGAATACAGTACCGGTACTTTGGAAAAAAAAAACCCGCGATGGAGTAAAGCCGCGATTAATGAAGCGCGATATAGCGAGGGATCACTGTATTGTGTATGTTGTTATTTAGTTGAAAAGCACTGTTTAGATCTGTGATGGATCACAAATGCAAACAAAAAAATGCTTCCTTTCACAAAAAGGCTTCTTTCTTAGAATTTTCCTTGGAAACGAGTATATTCAAGAAACTTACCAATGTTCAACCGCTGTTTACAAAAAAAAACACTTTACTATTATACTTTTTTATATATACTTTAATACTTTTTTCTCCCCGATGAAGGAAGTGGGTTGAAGCTGTGTTTTGGTTGGTGTCATGCCTATATAGCTAGAAAACTCAATTTCTCAAAACTCAAAAAAATTTGTCAAAATGGTCAAAAATGGCATGCAGCGGCTCTCCTTATTTGAGAAAAATGGCTGGCATTAAATGAGTTAAGAATGGATACTAAGTGCAAAATATAATTTGGGCAAATTTGTTCTTTCAGAAGACTGCATCGAACCGGTCGCCCTTTGCTTTAATCAGTTCATTAGCTCTGAACTTCAAAATGTTGGTGACCCCTGCAATAAACTAAAACATTTCTTACCTTTCCAATGTACTGATAGTCACTGCCGGTATACTCCTCTTGCAGGAAAAACTGATTCCACAGCCAGCCCCGTCTAACTCTTTTGACTGGCGCCTTTTCCGGGATGCCTTCTTCCCCTATTTTGTCTGCCCTCACTCCATTCAAAGATAAAGCATCCCGATGAAGGGCAAGACTTAGCCATAGATAGCCTACTAAGATAGTTCTCATTTTTCGTTAATTTTGATTTTAAGCGATGAGGGCTATTTTCCAAGCGTCATCACTTTGAATTGTGAAGTGGGTCGAACAGGAAAAGTCAAGTTTTCACTGGAAAAAGAAACAGAAAAACAGGGATGACTTTGTGAAAAAATTCAGATGGACGAAGATTAAAATTAAATTGATACGGTGCTAAAATTAAGACCCTTTTTTTGTAGTGGATTTACTTGCACTATTTGACCGCTTCAATGAACTCATGGGGCAAGCAGCTCAAAAGGGCCCTCACAGCCCGAACAACTTTGTGGTACTGGCAGATTGGGATACTGGCACTTTGGAATTGAAATGTTGTTTTTTTAACGAAGTACATCTGATTAAAAGGTTCTTTTAATAAAAAAGGACCTCTATAAAAGGCCAAAAATAGCCAAAATTGAAAGGAAATTAAATATGTCCGAGTTCCTGTTGAGTTCAGCCTTAGTGTTTATGTAAAGTGACTCATTTGGGTGATAGGGTGTCCCTAATAAGCCACCATTTATTGTACAAGCTATTTATAAAAAATATATAGTACAGTATACCTAACTACAATAATTAGAGTTGCGTTTAGGGTAAGAGCAAAATACCATCCTTTGGGGAACACATGCATGAATTACTCTGTCCTCGAGTACACTGCACCGTCACTTTAAACATTTACCTTAAGGCTGCTGGCTTCCGCATTTATTTCAATTCCATTATTAACTGTCAAAAAAAATTGTTTTCCAATGACATTGTAGCAAATAAATAAGGACAAAGTAAACAAATTAAAAACCAGAAAATGCAGTTGATGTTTACAAAATAGACCATAAGCACTGTAAACGACTATAAAAGGGTTCCACGCATTTTCGTTGCTTTGATGAAGCTCAAAACATGAGTTAAATCATGTTGTCTTATTTCAGTTTCCATTAAAAAATGGCATTTATATGAAACATGATACTGAATATTAATACATAAGTTGTGATATTTAGTCATTAGCCACTTACCGAGCTCAGCATAGTTTATCCTGAAACACACACGGCACTTTCAGCAGCATGTCTCATATGAGCCTCATTTCCTGCATTCACACTCTCCCTCATGTCATACACTTTCCCAAACCCCTTACATCTCACTCCCCACCACAGCCACGTGCTGTTCACACACACACACACACACACACACACACACACACACACACACACACACACACACACGCACACACACACACAGGAGAGGTATTATAATTGCCTGAAGTGGTGAATTGAAAACATAATTAAAAACTAAAAAACTAAATTATTTTAACCTTCTGGCAAAACTTTGCCACTATTTAAACAAATGACACCTGATCACACCTTTAATCTAAAAATCTAAAATATCATGATGTTGCCTAAAATGAACATTTGCACCTTTAACATAGCATCAGTGGTCATTCTAGCAAGTTTAATGTGGGGCGGCAAAGGGGTGCCAGGATGTTCAGTTGGTTGGGAGAAAGGGGGCAATGGACAGAATTATAAAGATGATACACTACAAGAAAGTGTTAGATGTCACAAGCCAAGTAATCATAGTTATAATTAATTAATTTATAGCATTCATTAATTAGGCAATTAAATTGACACACACACCATCGTTGGCAATGGACACTTGGCTGATCCCGGTGGACGGCTCTCCTGCGTCTCGCCCAGTCAATGGTAGGTGAAACAAATTTTGGCAACGCATTCTTTGACAATGTACAAATTGTTCTGCATAGCCATGAAAACCATCAAAATTATGTGTTACAGGTTGATATAAATATGCCAGCTAGATTTTAAATCTGTTTGGGCAGCCAAAGATGAGTTATCCTGACACGTGTGCGCTAAACATTGAAATGCTGTATGAAAATCATCCAACTGAAAACGAGGCGACAGAGAAGATTTCGCTGTGCGTCATATCTAAAAATAGAAGTGGAAAACACATTTTTAACAAGCCAGAGCAAAAATTTCTGAAAGAAGCACAAAACAGACCTGTGCAACGTGATCGCACGAAAATGGCCTCACAAAATAAATAAATAAATTTAAAACAAAACAAAACAAAAAAAAAAGGCAAACATGATTCTGTTGTTACATACCTACTCAATGCATTGTCATATAAAACCGCCAATTGTAATAATGATAATAATCCATCCATCCATCCATCCATTTTCCGATCCGCTTAATCCTCACAAGGGTCGCAGGGGGTGCTGGAGCCTATCATAGCCGTCTTCGGGCAGTAGGTGGGGGACACGCTGAACTGGTTGCCAGCCAATCGCAGGGCACACAGAGACAAGGGAGAATTTTTAGTTGTCAATCAGCCTGCCATGCATGTTTTTGGAATGTGGGAGGAAACCCGAGTACCCGGAGAAAACCCACGCAGGCCCGGGGAGAACATGAAAAACTCCACACAACAAGGCTGGGATTGAACCCACGACCTCTGCGAGGTCGACACGCTAACCACTCGACCACCAGGCCACCATGATGATAATAATAATAATAATAATAATAATAACAATAATAATTATAATAATGGTGGCACAGTGGTCGACTCGTTAGCATGAGTTAGCTGATAATGGAGTTTTTCATAAATTTGAGCTAAGCAAGTCACAAATACTCAGCGACTCAAGTCGACTCAACACAAGTCCCCGCAATTCTGATACACCTCACCAAATTAATAATAATAATAACAATAATTATTATTATTATTATTATGGAATAATAGTCAAATATATTCCTTCAGAGAACACCAACATATGTTGGTCGGTCAAAGCCAAAAATGCCAGGGCCTATTTTAAGTCTTAGTCCAACCCTGGTGCATCAGAATGCTGAAAGCATAATTGCACACTGAAATGGTGTATGACATTGCTCAAAATGGCTGCTGGAGGTCAAGTTTAAATGTAAGTAAACAAATGCGTTTTTCCAACAGTTTCCAAATCTGTCTCATTTATTCCTCTCGATTGCTTCACGTTAACTGATGTCCCTCCCCATATCTCCACCGGGACCTGACTCCAACATGATTGATCATAAGAGCTACTCTATTCTATTTTAGTCATTTCTTTCAGGTAGGGTTTGCAAAATAATTAGTCATTTAAAGTAGGTTACATCGATCAGGTGAAATTAAAATGTACAGGGCTATTGGGAATACATTTTACGAAGTATCCCATTGGAAATGAAGTGTACTGTGTAGTTTCAAAGATCACGACTTTCAAAATGTCAACAGCATTAACAAGTTTGACAAATGAATACATGGGTGGCTTTTCTAACATTTCAATACTTTATTGACCTAAATTGTACAATGCTAGCCCTTCCTGTTTTGGCTGTCATGGCATCTGCTTCAAGGACACTCTGAACAAAGGGACTCCACCAAAGCGGTCTGTTTCCTGACTTCATTCAAGAACAGCTTTTGAAATTAATTACGCGGTGATACCAGTAACAGGATAAACGGCATACAATTATAAAAAATGAGTAAAAAGATGAATATTTAATCATGATTATGTATATTTTCAACAACTCCCTTGAACAGAAAACCTCACCTCACCTGTCTGACTGACAAACAGGATGTCACAGTTGTGCTTTTTATCGCATCAGCTCATGATGATGAAGGATTTAGAGAGATAATTCCCGAGCTGACATAAAAGATGGCCTTGCCCAGATTTCACCACTTCCTGACAGGAATGCGAAATCCTACCTCTTTACTTCCTCTTCTGACTGGTATGGATCCATTTTGAAGGTCATTTGAACACAGAGCCTCCCAGCGGTGTCTGTTTCCTGACTTAAAACAAATGAAAGGACAAATGATGTCACTCTCCGAAAATGCATTGTGGCTGGGTGTCCTATCTTACAACATCAAAATGTCCTACTATGGCATTCATAACATATACGATAGATATTCACACTTAATTACAATGATTGACTCATGCATCCTTGTCACGAGCTGTGTTCAGTGACGCAGAAAATTGGCAAAAGAAGGACAACATTCAAGGTCACTGAGTTGTCCCTCGCCCCCCACCTCTGAGGTTTCTGCCAAAAGTCACTTTGAAATAGTCACCTAAAAACGGCCCACCTGCCAAAGAACCAACAATGACAAAGATGTAAACTCAATAATCTGAACACCTTTCTGTAATTTAGTAGAGAATGGGCAGTTACAAACTCAATGAAAAACATCATGGTACTTTACAAAAACAATATCTACCGTATTTTCCGGACTATAAGTTGCAGTTTTTTTCATAGTTTGGCTGGGGGTGCGACTTATACCCTGGAGCGATTTATGGGTGAAATTATTAACGCATTATTATAATCATTTCACGTTATTTTCACATTAAACCGCAAGAGGCCGCTCTAGACCTGTATTGATAAAACCACGATGAGTCTGACGTAAGAGATGTACAAGAGGAAGCGCTGCATCTTCTACCTCCAGAGTTGGTGGAGTTGCTTTAAAGTGACACAGAGGATGAAGATTCCATTGGCTTTAGTGATTTGGAGTGACATTGATGGTTTGGTGAACTTGTTAGCATGTTCTTTATGCTATAGTTATCTGAATAACTCTTAATATGTTACTTGAACATACCAGGCACGTTCTCAGTTTGTCATTTATGCGTCATGTAACGTTAGCATCTCGTACACTTATTCAGCGTGTTGTTTTCCGTTTTATTTTTATTTTAAATTGCCTTTCAAGATGGCATGTGTGTTCTTGGTGTTGGATTTTATCAAATAAATTTCCCCCCAAAATGCGACTTATACTCCAGTGCGACTTACATATGTTTTTTTCCTTCTTTATTATGCATTTTATGGTTGGTGCTACCTATACTCCGGAGTGACTTATAATCCGGAAAATACAATAGATCGTTTTCATTCTAATAACTTGACGAGAAGTACCATTACAGACAAGATTTCCTAACTTTCAGCAGATTTGTACTGCCAACTGAAACGCAAAGTTTTGTCATTTCTGGCATTTTTTGTTGCGATTGATGAGAGCGCTGATATTGTGGACGTCGCTCAACTAGCCATATTCATTCGTGGAGTTGACAAGACTTTGACTGTCAAAGAGGAGTTACTCGAGACACCACTACTGCTGAACCGCTCTGTGGTTGGAGCGCTGGATAGAATCAGAGCTGGTCGTGTGCGCCAAAAGTCTGGCAACTGATGGTGCGCTCTCAATGAGACAAAGTTCAGTAAGAAAATACAAGCCATAAATGGATTTTTGGACATTTCATTGAATTTTGCATGAGGATTATGCTGCAAAATGTTTAAATGGATCACGTCATGGAGGTGGTTGTCCGAACTTTTCATCTGAGCCAGAGGTCTCAATCATCATCAATTTGACTGCCTTCTGAATGACTGCAACATTACCCATGGTGTGCCATTGCACCCGGAACTATGATGGTAAAGCAGAGGTGCTGTGCGGAAGCACTTCTTTGATCTACGTGGCGAAATCGGACAATTCATGGACAAAAAAAGGTAAGCCTGCTAAGGAATTACAGTGCCCACTGTGGCTTGCTTTTATGGTTGACATCATAGAGCACTTGAATAATCATAATAATGTTGCAAGGGGGCGGCCCGGTGGGCAAGTGGTTAGCGTGTCAACCTCACAGTGCAGAGGTACCGGGTTCGATTCCAGCTACTGCCTTCCTGTGTGGAGTTTGCATGTATCCTCCCCGTGCCTGCATGGGTTTTCTCCGGGTACTCCGGTTTCCTCCCACATTCCAAAAACAAGCATGAACACTCTAAATTGTCCCTAGGTGTTCCTGTTCCCTGGCGAGGCGAAGGTTGCCGTCGCTTTTGTTCCTGTTCTCCGGGTTGAGTGACCGCTGGTGCGTCTGGCTGCCGCTGCTCACCCGCTATTATTCTTTTTAGCGTTTGTTTTACGGTTTTTTACGGTTTACTCTCGTCATGGGAGAACCCCTCATCTCCTGTCGCAATTCGTTGTGGTTTTGGACCGTCGGT